AGGTTGCTCAAGGAAGCTGTGGCTGCCCCCTCCCTGGAGGTGTTCAAGGCCAGGTTGGATGAGGCTTTGAGCAACCTGGTCTAGTGGAAGGTGTCCCTGCTGATGGCAGGGGGGTTGGAACTGGATGATCTTTAAGGTCCTTTCCAACCCAAACCATTCTATGATTCTATGAACTACACTGTTGTTAGCAAACTGAACACAAGTACGTCAGTGTACTTGAAATTTGCTATCAACAGTATGAAAGAAGCCTGTAGGTTAATATATTTCTCACATTCTGATTTTGAGCAATCAGAACCAACACAAAAAAGAAAAAAAATGTCTGTAAAAGTCATGATCTGTTCACAGAAGAGTCACTAACAGAAACAAGGGGAAAATGTGACTGATCATTTCCACAATTAATAATTTGATCAGTTCTAATTACTTCACAGCAGGCCAAACATATAGCAATGTATCTTACCTGAACTAATAGTTTGCCTTAATGTCATTATTATTAATTTCATTCAAGCTGACTGACACCTGTGTGGAACAGCTTGTCAAAATTCAGTCATTTGCAGTCCTGTCATTACTGTTCTATCTCTCTGCGGTGCAGTATAATCAACCATGCACAAGGTTGTAAAATAAAAGTATAATCACCACCCGCCTAGTGCAGGGTACATAATCTTTATACTGTGAGCTAAATTTTGGTGTCACTTGATCTTTTGCACATAATTCTACTTTTTAACTGACTTCCCTTTACCAGTTGAATTTCAGAAAAAATCTTCTATTGAACAAGGGTTGCTGGCATCCTGGTATGGTAATTGGGATTATATTGTTATATTTTACCTTCAGTTGCCTATACTAGGAGACCAGGAAAGGGTTATTATTGTGCCATTTTACCTAGCTGATCTGGTTGGTTGCCTTTAAATAAGATGTCTGCTTTGTATTTCAAATAGCAATTGTAAAAGCTATTTGTTTTTTTCATTCCTTGCACTGGCAATACCAAGAATGAGGAAGAGAAAATGTAAATCTTACAAAACAGGCTTTTGGTATCTTCTCAGTCTGAGGGCTGGAAGGTGACCTGAATAAAAACTAGCTTTTTTTTTTTTTTTTTTTTTTTTACAGTGGCTGTTTGCTGCTATTAGCCTGCCCATCCACTGGGGTCCTTTGCTAAATTATCAGTTTATCCACATGTCAGAACACTGGCTTCCAAAAGCAGCTGGGTTCAAGGAACTGGCGGCTCACTGGAAATGTTTCACAACTTTTAATAGCCGAATGTTCATTACATGATGAATACCAAAGGACTGGTAAAATATCTTTGCTTGTAAGATGACCTTGTAGCTTCCTTTTTTTTTTTTCAGATCCTTAATGTCTTTTTGTATCTCTCTTCCTTCAAGACTGCTTCTTCTAATCTTTCCCATGTTAGTCTATCCTCTACTTCCTCTACAACCTCATTTTGCCTTATCTGCCTTCTATTTTCCATTACCAACTGTAATTCTTTAGTATCTTCCATTTTTGTCTTTTTTTTTCCTGTTTTTATTTCCTTTTCCCTTGGATGTTTTCCATCTCACCTCAGTTTAAGCCTTCATTTTTTTCTTTTTTTAATGACTTTTTCCTTTCATGCTTACCTTCCCATTCTTCTGAACTTTTTCTTCTCTGCAGCGAATGAGGAAT